TAGCCATTTAAGGCACAATAAACCTGGTATCAGATGAAAATATATTTATGGGACTGTATCCTAATCTGATCCGATCTCGAACTCCAAATTATCTGGTACAAAATATCATTCTTGTTTAGTGTACATTGAAACATATATATGGGAGCTATATCTATATCTGAACCGATTTTCTCCAAATTTAATGTACTTGCTTCTAGACGGAATTCGGTCGGATGTGTCAAAATTGAGGTCATCTGGACTGATATTGCCATTTGGTGCACAATTAACCCTAAATCGGTTGAAGATATATATGGAATCTATATCTAAATTTATTATTATTTATAAATCGGATAATAAATGCGACCTGCATTTTGTTTACAAAAATACATGGACAGACGGACATACGGGCTGACATGCATAAATCGACTCAGGCAGAGATTCTATGAAGATCCTCAAAAGGCCTACCTCGCTACCTTTCTCCATGATACAACCAAATGCACAAAGACATAATACCATAGACAAATTAAGGTATAGACTAAAAAGTTTTAAAATTTACCCCTTCCGGCAGATGTCACTATTGTTGATCTTGGGCCAGTCAAGTCACTCAGGGCTAGTGAAGTCACTCGACTTCGAAAACAATTTATTCATTTTTCTGCTATTTTAGTTCTATATTTTTATATTTCACGTCATATTTGGATAATGTAAAAATAAACAAAGTCACTGTTTCGTTTTTAATTGATAAATAATAAAGAATCATAAAAATATTCAATATTTTGTATTTTGAGAGAATTGAGTGAATAGACTTTTGCTCTCTCACAGCATGAACGACATCTATTGAAGCACTTTTTTCGAAGATAACAGATGAGACAACTTTTTAGTCTATACTTTAATTTGTCTATGATAATACCCTTACCCCTATGTGGTGTAGAGTATAAAAAATATATTTTTTTTAGAAAATTACAATATTCAGATTAGTATGTTAACCACCACCAGTTATGGTGGTATTGCCGCTTTATAAATACGTAATTTACTAAAGCATTTTTTTTGTTCGAGCTATTACAGAATTTACCTTTTTTCTCCATTAATGTTACGGTAATTGGAAGCATAAAGTTCTGAGAACTCAATAATATATTATATAATATAATATGAGGTATAATGCAGACTGACATTTTTTCTCAGTGTGTTATGCTGTGATTTAATTTCAAAATGTATCTTTTTTCTTGTGGTGGCGGACGTTGGGGTTTCCAATTTTGTCAATAATATTTTTTTTTCGGTGTACCAACACATTGGCTGCGGAATATGTGTAAATAAACATTGTTGAAAATCATGAAACTACAATAAACGTTTATTTTCCAATCGTGTCTGTTTGTTGTTTGTTGCATTGTCGCCACAGCACTTTGAATTGACAAGCCTCTGTTTTATTTATTTTTTACCTTTCATGAAATGGAGTTACAAGTTTCATTACAAGTGGAGAAGGAGGGTAGACGGGGCTGTTTATTTTGCATATTTCATACCTTGCTTTTTGCAAAATCGCATAGCACAGCAAGGTGCTTTAGATGTTCCTTCCTTTGTCGGCAGTGTTTGAATGTTAAATACCGCTGTATTTATGTACCCATTATTTGTTACTCTCCATAATTGAGATTGTAGGTTTGTTTTACGGCAACTAAACTATGATTTTCCCGGTGATACGGAAGTTATTTTGTCATTTTACTTTCACTATTTTGAAAATCAACGGTAATTCATGAATTTACTAGGAATAAATATACGTTTTAAATTATCTACCGAGGTTGAGATTTTTTGATGTGAGTTGCAATTTTTGTTCTATGAAAATGTGAAATACAAAAACGTTAGTAAAATTTTATAAATATAATATTTTAATATATATGTATATTTCAATAAAACAAGAGTCCAACCCAAGAATAATTGGGTGCAGGAAAAAACAATATTTGAATGCCTGAAAAAATGGCAAAAATTAAAAATATCCGGTTATGGTAAGGGTATTGTGTCTTTGTTCGTAACATGGAAAAGGAAGCGAGATTGACCCATGGTTACTTTTGAAGATCTTCATAGAATCACTATCTGTGCCGATTTATGCATGTCAGTCCGTCCGCCCGTCAGTTCATGTATTTTTGGGAACAAAATGCAGGTCGCATTTCTTATCCGATTTCGATGAAAATTTCCAAACAATATTTGTTTGGCCCAAGGACGAATTTTACTGAAATTGGTGAGATTCGAATATAGCTCCCACATATATCTTCAACCGCTTTTGCGTTAATTGTGCACCAAAATTTATGCATGTCAGTCTGTCCGTCTGTCCATGTATTTTTGTGAACAAAATTCAGGTCAGGTTCAATCGATGAAATTTTCAAACAATATTTATTTGGCCCAAGGATGAACCCAATTGAAATTTGTGAGAATCGAATATAGATCCCATATATATCCTCAACCGATTTCGGGGTTAATTGTGCACCAAATGACCTGAATTACATAAACTTTTGTTATATAGCTGTAGATCCCCCATATATACAGGGTGAGGTGCAAAAAACTGCAACCAACTTAAGATTCTATCTCTCTCGCTTTCATTTCAAAACCACTCGTCCGACAGCTATTAAAATTATTCCAATGACAGCTCATTATATTGCTTACAAGCGTACAAAAGAATTCTGGTGAGAATTTTTCAGAAAAAATTTATTAGTGATGGACTTCAAGCGTATGATTTCTTTATATTTGGCTGGAAAACCACAAGTGGCTATCGTTAGAGCACTCCCAGCGATTAAATGTGAATAAATCTTTTGTGTCACGTACCATCGCTCGTTACCGTGATACTGGTAGCGTAGCCCGACGTCAAGGAAGTGGGTGGAAGAAAACAGCAACATCATCAGAAATGGTTCGAAATGGAAAGAAGCGACTTGATCGAAACCCGAGTCGCAGTGGCCGAAAAATGGCTCGTGAGCTGAACATATCTCAATATTCGATTCGGCAAATATTAAAAATTGAGCTCGGGGTAAAGCCATTGAAATTCCTCGTCGTTCAACAGTTTGTAAACAAACAAAATGGTCGTGTTTACTTGCCAAAGAAGTTAGCTGAAAATGTGCACCTTCGGTTGGCCACCAGAACTCAAGCACCGGCCATGGTGATGGTGTTGGTCGCCATAACAGCCGATGGTCGCTCTTCGCTCGTATTAATCGACCGTGGCATCAGAATAAATGCCGAATATTATCGCGAAAATATTCTGGAGGATGTATTAAAGCCTTGGGCACGCAAACATTTTGGCCGCAGACCTTAGACGTTCCAAAAGGACTCAGCACTATCGCAATCCGCACGCGCCACCCAAGAATGTTACAAATCTCCGGAAACCAATCCGTTGGACTATTGTGTCTGGGGTATTTTGGAAAACAAGGTTGGCGCTAAAAAATACCAAAGTGTCGTTCACCTCAAGCAGAGCAACATTCGGACATCGTGTGACGGTTTCATTGACCGTTTGAAGGCCATATTTCGTGTCAAAGGTGACCAATTCGAACAAATCTAAACTTATTCTAAAATTCGATGCAATTTCCGACATTTTTTGCTTGTATTTAATAAAATTAAAAAAAATGTAAAAATTATGGCGCTTGATTTTGTTGCAGTTTTTTATCTCACCCTGTATCTTCAACCGATTTCGGGTATTGTTGTTCACTAAATGGCCAATATCAGTCCAAATGAAATTAATCTCGGCAATTCCGACTGAATTAATGCTAGAAACAAGTGCTTCAAATTTTGTGAAAATCGGTTCAAAAATAGCTATAGCTCCCATATATATGTTTCATCCGATTTGGGGTTTTAAGTCCCTCAAATGTGTAATGTGCACTCCACAACAATGATCTTTGATACCAGATATCAGATACAGCTCAAAAATAAGTGTCAATAATTTTGTGCACCAAATGGGTAATATCCGCCCAATTTTGGCACTTCCGAAGGAATTCAGCCCAGCATCGGTCTGGTATATCTATTGCTCCAATAAACATTTTTTTAATACAATTGTTATCGAAATTATATCATGCACTATACATCAATGTTATTTTGTACTAGAGGTACAAGAGCCTCTGTCTAATTTGTTGAACATCGATTCAGAGTTGGATATAGTTCCCAAATTTTGACTACTCTAAAACCATGATACGAATTCAAATAAGGTTCATAGCTGGTATGATCTACTTAATATAAATTCCCAACATAAAGTTTTTCTGTTACGGGAGCTCTACTAAACACGCCTAGTGGTGTAGGGTATCATATAGTCGGCCCCGTGCGACTTTTAACCTTTCTTTACTGGTTTTTATTTGTTGTTGTTACAAAAATGACAGTAATGAGATTAAGCCTGACTATTCTGTAACAACAAAATTTAAAAAAATAAAATATATTTTGAGAATTTCGGGAAGTCGGATGCCAAGTACTAAATATTAAGCTTTTATGGCAAAAAAAAAAACAGTATTTTTTTACAATTCGTAGATGTTCCTAGAAGAGATCCTCATATGGTATTCATTCGAAAATACCCCCATAAAACAATATATTTTTGTTTTTGCTTTATAATAAAAAAAAAACACAATCCAAGCAAATCATCCACACACAATAAAAAAACTTCCAATTAAGTCTCCTAAAATAATGACCATACTCAACACGTATTTTAAAAACAAAAACTAGTTTTGCCATGGTTTGAACAAAAAAACAAAAAATTCAAAAGAATCAGTAGCAAAATTGTTTTGAATACTTAAATTTTATGTTTCATCTCAAAATTATCTCAATCTCCTCCTCACCATGATTAATGAACTCGTTCAAAATGTGTCGTAAAAATATACAGTATTTTTAAACTGGATTTTTTAAGAATTGATATAAATCTTGAATACGCTTTGTTGTTTTTATTCTTTTTTTCAAAACACTTTGTAAAGGCAAATAAAACAAATTTTTAGTAATCGAGTTTTATTTGTGTGTGTTTGTGTGATTAAATATTAATTTAAAATGTTTTTTTCTGTCTTTGTTTATCTTTCTAGTTTCTGTAACACCACCACCTCAGAGGCCATGGATACCATTGGCGAAGCCCAACAAGTCCAGACCGGCATGTAAGTATTTATTATCATCATGTAAAAAAGATGGGAGGTTAAATATGATAAGGGAATTAATTATGGAGGTGGGGGGGGGGGTGGGGGCTTAAAAGTTGAAATTGATTAATGTACCAAATTTAAAAGTGTTTTATTAACAAGGAAGTTGTCCGCAATATAATTAAGGATGGGTGGTATTGTATGTGTGTGTTAAAGGAATGAAAAAATAAATATATTTTTTTCAATACTAAAGCATGTGACAAAATGTTTCCAATATGGCTGATGGGAATGTCTTTCTAAAAAATACATTAAATTCTGAAAATTTCTTGAAAAACTTTATTAACATTTAATAAAATCTGGAAAGGAAAGATACGCCCATTTTCAAAATATTCGAGTTAAGATTCCATCGAATTCCTGAATTTTTGGAATATTGTGTGTTTGGCAATATAGCTGTCTAATATCGGGGGAATATTTCTATAAAACATTTTAACCATCTCTCGAGTCACTAAAGGGGTCTTTTAGGTAATTTTCTTTAAAAACGTTGAAAACTCAATTAAGAAAGAAATTAAAAAATGTTCTACAAAACTATTCTTCAGAAATTTTTACTAGGTTTCAGAGTACACCAAAGCTCCAAACCTAACCTAAAAGTCAGAAATCTGTAAAAAAATATAAAGTCATTTTAGTCATAAAGTCTCACTCCCCCTAAGTTTATGTAAAATTTTTTCACACCCATAATTTTGGGGAGATGACCGAAAAAGCCAAAACTATTCCACGTACATTTTTACAATAAGTCGCCAAAGGGTGTTTTCTGTCCTGGTTTTAAAAATATGGTAAAAAAATCCATTTGAGCGGAATGGCAGCAGCCCAAAATATTCTACAACATTATTTGTCAAAAAAAAAATATTTTGGGATCCAGAATTCAATCTCATCTAAACGCCAAGAATTCATACACATTAACATGTAAAAGAGTAGTGAGTTCGGCCGGCATAACTTTAAATACCCTCCACAATTTGGGATGAATTTGGAAATTTTCAAAAAAAATCTGTTAAATATTCTATTTAAAATCTTAAAAATACTGAATATAGCCATTATATTGGGGTCTATACGAAGACGTGGACCTGAATAGGCAACTTTTGTAATAAGCCATTACCATATTCAAATACGAAACTTTAAAAAAACCCGATGAATAATGTAGCTAAAATCATTAAAATACCGAATATAGGGAGGTATCATTATATGGGGCTATACAAAGACGTGGACCCGCACAGACAATTTTCTGCCATAGGCTGTAGTACCCATTACGAACTTCAAATACGAAATTTCAAACAATTTCAGTGAATATTATACCTAAAATCGTCAAAATACCGAATATAAGGAGTTACTGAAATATGGGGCCTATACGAAGACCTGGACCTGTAAAGACATTTTATGTCATAGACTGTGTAGTTCCCAATACGAACTCTAAATACGAAATTTGAAACAACTCCGGCGAGTAATGTCGCTAAAATCATCAAAATAGCAATTTTTATATGGAGGCTATACGAAAACGTGGGCCGGCCTGCATGCGCAATTTTTTGTCGTAGGCTGCAGTACCCGTTACGAATTCAAAATGCGAAATTTGAAAGAACTCCGATGAATAATGTCCCTAAAATCGTCAAAATATCGAATATCGGGAGGTACCGTTGTATGTGGGCTATACGATATCGTGGACCAAGGATAAAGGGTGGACCGGGGCGTAAAGTGCTTAGAAAGAATTTCTAGTATTTTTAGAAAATTCCATTGAAATATGTAGCTAAAATCATCAAAGTACCGAATATCGGGGGATACCGTTATATGAAGGCTATACGATATCGTGGACCGATATAGCACATCTTCGAACTTAACCTGCCTGCAGACAAAAGACTGATCTGTGCTAAATTTAAGCTTCCTATCTTTATTCGTTTTGACTCCAGCGTGATTACAGCAGACGGACGAACGGACGGACAGGGCTAAATCGTCTTAGAATTTTACGCAGAAAAGTCATCAAAGGGAAAAAATTCGTCCTTTTTCCAAAGGATGATTAAAAATTCCCCTTTAAATTGGACCTTACCAAGACAAAAAAAATCTATAAAAATTATTTGTAATACAATTCTACAACATGTTCTAAAATACATCTTAAGACTAAATCGTACCTAAACGACAGAAATTCAAAAATATTACTGAGTTTGTCCAAAAATCTCCTAGAAAACAGAAGGATGTCAGAGTCAAAAGTATTTTCCATTATAATTTATTATAGGTCCCGAAAGAAAATAAATCTCTATTTCTAAAATATATATAAAAAAATTGTCTGAATGAATCAAGAATCAAGGCCCAGATGTAACGGCTGAAGGTAGAATCTTAAAATTTTGCACGAGGATCAGTCTTGGTGCGTAGGCGTGTGATAAGCCTGAGTTCTTCAAAAATCTTACTGAAAGGGTACGAAAAGTAATGAAATGTATTAAAAATTTAATACTTTGTATCGGATAAATGGAATGAAAAAAGTACTAAATGCTGTTTGTGTTTGAGATTTTGCGGTAATTTTGAAATACGTCCCATATTTTTACGAAAATTACTAAAGGTCTGGACTCCTCAAATTTGATATTGTGGTCTCTGTTGGTATTTAGAATTGAAATATGGAGGGGGTTAGGAAATGTGGAAATTGTACGAAAAGTACTTAGTTTAGTATTGGTTGAGGGGAAAGGCCCACACTCCTCAAATTTGATATTGAGGTCTCTGTTGGTGTCTAGAATTGAGATATGGAAGGGGTTTGGAAATGTATACTATAATTGTACGAAATGTACAAAATAGTACTAAGTTTGGTATTGGGTGAAGGGATAGGGCCGAAATCCTCAAATTTAATATTTAGTCTCTGTTTGTATCTGGGATTGATATATGAAGGTGGTTTTGGTAATGTGTACTATAATTGTAAGAAAAGTACGAAATGTTACTAAATTTGGTGAAGAGATAGAATTGAGATCCTGAAAATTAATATGGATGTCACTGTTGTCTGTGGTTGAGAGAGGGAGCTGAATTGTACTAATTAGTACTAAATATGGTAATGGCGAAAATTTAAGACCTGAAATCCTGAATTTTGATATTGAGGTCAATGTTGATTGTTGTCAAAGGACTAACTCGATCTGTTGGAAATTTTATGGCGGACTTTTCGCTGACGAAATAGCGGGCCTTATATATGAACTAGATATAAATGTGGAGGGTAAAATTTATTCCATCCGATCTCAACGTTTTCTTACTTGTTTAGTAATTAAAAGTGCGATTTTTAATTTAGCAATTTTCACAGCTGAGCTAAATATAGAATTTTATAAAGTTTCCGTTCCGGGCATTGATGATGCAAACAGTTACATAACTTTTTAATTTACAATATTTTTCTCAATTTTGAAATTTCCAATGCAATATCCTCCTACAATTTATGGCAACTTCCCAGGCGAGCACGTTGTGTTCTGTCAAAATTTCAGTCTTGATGCATGGCCTTTACAATGCTTGGCATTTGTTTCATTGTCCAGTTAATTCAAGAAGTCTACCTCTTAATTCCAATATTCTGTTTCTTTGTTTCTGACTTTACTTCTGCTAAAAAGATCCTTTTTCCACTGATTTTTCCAAAGATTATTTTTCCACAGCCAGCAGACTTGCAACCCATTTTTTTCAAAACCCTCTACAGATGTAGATGTAGCGACCAATTATTTTTTTTTTTTTTTTAATTTTTTTTTCTATTTTTTCCACTTTTTTATTTAAATATTTCCAATTTTTTCTTTCAAATCCTATCCTATTCAACAAATTAATTTTCTTCATCTCTCTTACAGGTCTCTTCACCGTCATGTGTTACAATGTGTTGTGTGACAAATATGCCACCCGACAAATGTACGGCTATTGCCCCTCATGGGCCTTGAATTGGGAGTACCGCAAAAAGGCCATTCTCGATGAGATACGTCACTACTCGGCGGACATTATCAGTTTGCAGGAAATCGAAACGGAGCAATTCTATAACTTTTTCCTGCCCGAACTCAAGAATGATGGCTATGAGGGTATCTTTTCGCCGAAGTCGAGAGCCAAGACAATGTCCGAAGTGGAACGTAAATATGTGGATGGTTGCGCTATATTTTTTAGGACCTTAAAGTATGCAATAAAAAATTTCAATATTTCTTATTTTTATTTATTTTGTTTTTTGTTTATTTCTTTTTGTTTTTCAGATTCTCTCTCATCAAAGAGCATTTGATTGAATTCAATCAACTGGCCATGGCCAATGCAGAAGGATCTGACAACATGTTGAATCGTGTTATGCCCAAGGACAATATTGGTCTGGCCGCTTTGTTGAAGGTCAAGGATAATGCCTGGGATCCCGAGCTGGATGTAACCCAAACCTCGCAGGCTTTGTTGGTATGCACGGCCCACATCCATTGGGATCCGGAGTTCTGTGATGTCAAACTAATTCAGACCATGATGTTGAGCAACGAGTTGAAGACGATAATTGACGAGGCCAGTCACAGCTTTAGACCTGGCCATAAGAATGACTTGAACAGTGTACAGCTGTTGTTGTGTGGCGATTTCAACTCCCTACCCGATTCGGGTGTGGTGGAATTCTTAAGCAAGGGTCGTGTCAACATGGACCACAGCGATTTCAAGGATATGGGCTACAAGTCGTGCCTGCAACGTTTACTCTCGAATGACACCTCAGAATTTACGCATTCCTTTAAGTTGGCCTCGGCCTACAGCGAGGACATAATGCCCTATACGAATTACACGTTCGATTTCAAGGGCATCATCGATTATATTTTCTATACAAAGACGGGCATGGTGCCGCTGGGCCTATTGGGGCCCATATCCAATGAATGGTTACGCGAGAATAAAGTTGTTGGCTGTCCGCATCCACACATACCCTCCGATCATTTTCCACTGCTGGTGGAATTGGAACTGATGCATACGGCAAGTCAACAATTGCCACCAAATGGTCTAATTAGTCGGCGGTAGCAATAAAACTTATGTGACAAGACAACGTTAACAGCCTTTAGTAATAGTAGCAAGAACAACAGCAACATTATCAACAACAACAAGAATAACCAAAATATTAACAACAACAACAACCACCACCAGAATAGCAGGGAGTACATTTTACAAAAGCAACAACAACAACAAAAAACACATTCAATAGGAGAATTACAAAATGATTCTGGTAATCAAGTAAAAGCTGCCGTTGTCCATTTTTTAGAAACTCATATCGCCGTCGCCTTTATCATTTTCTTCGTTAACGATGTTGTCGTTATTATCATCATCGTCGTCTACGTCTACGTCGTCGTTGCCGTCATCAACAACATTAAACAAAAACAAACAACAACAAAAATAATAATAAAATTAAAATTATTATTAAAAACAACCACCTTCAACACAAGGACCACAGGAACAATCTTTATAAAACTACAACAACAACAACTGATGTCATGATCATAATGAAAGCCCACAACAAAAAAAAAATACAAAAACAAATAAACATAATTTATTTTTTAAGTTTTTAAAATTTAATTAATTAAAACAAAACAAAAAACACAAAAAAGTAGCAATTTAAACCATTTTATGTTTCCTATCCTCTTTTTTTCCTTTCTCCCAAACTGTCTCCAGTCCTCCCCCCCTCTCCCCTCTATGTCTTTTCAAGCACAATTCTTTGCAGTTATTTAGTTTTCAATATTTCCCTTGCATTCTCCCACCCCTCCTCCCCTACCGTTTTTGTTTAAATAGATTTATATTTATTGTCATTGTAGCTATAATTTTAAGTCCAATAATTCTCCCAGCACGTTACGCTCCAAAAACCTGCTTATTATTATTTTCTTTATTCTTCGTATTGTATTGATTGCGCTATACTATGTTCCGGTTAAACAAACAAACAACAACAACAACAAAAAAACTGAACGATTAAAGAGATGTGTTTAGGTGTTATAACAAATTTTTAGGAAAGAAAGAAAACAAAAAACAAACCAATATTAAAATAAAACAAACAACCACAAAAAACAAAACAAATAAATATTTAAAGTATAAAAAATCATTCTATACAAATTCGGAATTTTTATTTCAAAATTTTGTTAGAAAGATGAGGTTTTTGAAATCACTTGGTTTTTCAAAATTAGTTCATTTAGTAAAAATTTGCAAGGAATTATCAAAATATGTCTAAATCCCAAAAGTTCACAAAAATAGCTTAGCTTTGCACTTCAAATGTAAGATTTAAAATTTTAAAAATAATTTAAATATTTTCCAAAAAAAAACAAACTTGGAATTTTCAAAAAAAATCCCATTATCCATGGTACAATAAGGAAGTAGAACAACTTTGTAAAACTACAAAAAAAATACATCCCTACAGCTGTGACCACTTCCTGTCAGAATTATTTAAATTATTTAAAATTATATGCAACACGTTTTTTTTTCTATCATTGATAATGAAAATTTCTTTTTTTTTTCAAAACTATGAACACATACACAAAGCTGGCAGAAGTCCAGCACACTTAGCAGCTGGAAGCTCCACCTTACCTTTTTATTAAGCGTATCTGGTTACCCTAAAATTTTTAACAATTGTTACAAATTGTTACTGGAAGTCGTCTGTTAACCCGAAAGTTCTGCAAAACAGAGCGATTGGAGAGAGAAATTTTGACAGTTCTTTCAGTGAGAGTTTGCAAATTCTTGCTGAACAAATTTCTTCTTGCAATCACTTGCAACTCTTCTTCTTCTCATTCATCGACATACAATCAGATGTTTTCTATAGTTTGTTTATTTCCTTTTCTGCTTTCAATTTGAAAATTTTTTTTTTTTTTGGAATTAGCAAGACTTATTGTTTATGGAGAACAACTTTACAAAATTTGAAAAACATAAATATCAATATGTAATAAGAAAATAAAAAACTATTTCCAACTTTTTTAGACAAACGTCAGAGGCAACACGTTTAAAGGATTACGGGGAACAAATCAAATCTATCTTTATTTTATTGTTCATATTTTTATTTCTATGTTAATTTCCTTTTTATTTATAAAACTTGTAAAGTTGGTGGTGCTTCCTTTCTTTTTATAATTTAATGGGGGGACAAATTGGTTTGTTTTGATAAAACAGCTGATTAGTTGCAAACTTCTGCAAGAATACCGTCTGTTTACTTTTTGCATCTTTCTTGCAAAAGAGAATAAAACTACCTTACTCTCTCAGAAAGATGTTACTGGACAATTCTTGCAGGAAAAGTAACCAGACACACCTATTGTACCATGCCAATATCAAGCGTTTTCTCTAGTTTTCGAATAATGTTGGTAATAAATAGTGTATTAATTGGAAACTTAAATTCCGACATTTCCCTGAAAATTACGCTTCCAGGGGAAATTTAAAATATATTTTATGAATATAAATAACTTTGGTCGATTCCTTATTAAAATATTCGCGTTTGAAATATTGGTATTTTTCACACAAAAATGTATTGTCCATTTCTTGCGCTAAATATCATCCGATGACCATTTAAAACTGGTCTTCTGCCCAGTCCAAAACTCTAACCCCATGACTTCTAGAGCGACGGCGAAATTAGGAAAAAAATCAGTTTTTGTGTCATTTCATCCCCTAAATAATTGTGGATTTATCTCAAACAACAACAAGGCTTGTATTCGTGAGGATAGGACCATAATTGCGATCTGTAGTGTGGTTACAAATGGGCCGACACGCAGCTAGATGGACTCATGGGTATATACTTCGAGGTTTTACAAACCCAATCAAACTTATAATACCCCCAAACATTTAGATTGGTTCCCACTTGGTAATATATTTTCGATTCAGACTATTTTTGCAGAAATTATAACCGATTTATTCCACGAATCTAATTACAAATTCAGATTTTTTAATTAAAATGAAGATGTCACTGTGAACCCACATTTACAAAAAGTAATCACTTTATTGTCACATTTCTGAAAAAATAATTTATTTTAGGGAAAAGATGTAATAGTGAAAACCCTATAAAGTGAACTTTGTCTTTACTTTTCCAAAGTAAAGGATAAAAAACTGGACTATATAGAAAATATATAGGAACGGGCCATAGTGTTTTAGAGTATAAATAATAATTAAAACGTGGATTAAAAAATTTTTCTTTTGTTGGATTATATTTATCTGTTTTCGCAACCATCGAAGACTAATGTACGAATTCGCCTTCTGGACGTCCATATTAATTTGGACTTAACATGAGTGCAGAAAAAAATTTGAAGCACTTAATTCTAAAATTTTATTAAGAATATGGGGACTATGAAAATACCTGAAATAATGTGTAAAATCTGTCCAAGTGAACTACCAGTGCCCTCTTCTGCGTAGAATACTTGTTGAGTTTACCTTCTTTTACGACAAAGTTCATTTGTGGACGGATATTTGATAAATTCTATTTCGATTTGACCTATTAATCCTAAGGAATTGACATTGAAAATTAGAATTCACCGAATAATCATGAATTTAACCAATATCCGATGCGATTTGCCGTTGGCGCTAAGGCAAAATTTTCGATATAGTTTTTTTATATCAAAATTTAAAGGAGTGATGGTTAATAAATTTTAAAGAATATAAATTAGTAGAAGTCCAAAGAAGTCATAAGCAGCTTGGCATCATGGCTAGGCATAATAATGTCAAATTATAAAGGGAAATGAAGGCAGAATTTGAGTGCGGCTCTGGCATCCATTTATGATACGTCACAAAATATGCCATGCGAAGACTTCAGGATATGTACCCACACCTTTACACCATTGACAACATCTTATTGTCCAAATTAATACTTATAAATCGATTTTATATACACAAATCTGAGATGGGAACCTGTTTTCTATGCAGCTAAATTAGATTAGGTAAATTACAGAAAATTCAGAGCTGGCAGTGTTTATTGGATATAAGGTTATCTTGATTTTATTGTGCCATGACATATTTTTAGTTTTCAAAAGTATCAACAGCAACATTTTAAGTTTTTTATTTCAAAGTTTAAATGAGGCGACCAAAATCAAAAATCTGGAGTCCGGTTGAATGCTGATCATTAACATTTTTAGAAGTCCGAAGAAATATAATTTTTCAAGGTATGAGTCGCAACAACGGTTATTTAATTAAACAAATTGACAGTCCTCTTTGAATAACCCTGATTTGAATCTCGATTTAACCCAAATAAAATAGTATTCAAAAAGATTGCATATGCATGCAGAACATCAACCAAAAATAATTTAATTTTCATTTGGAAAATAAACAATAAAATCAATTTTAGGATCTGTACAAGATTACAAGATAAAATCATTTATTTGTTAATTAGTCTATCTTAAAACTGGGAACTTCAATAAATTCATTGCAATCAAAAAAAATTATATGGTAAAGTTTGTTTCATTTCAAAATTACGCAAATAACTATTTTGGCTTAAAAATGTGTCTTCTCTTTTATTTTCGCATTATGCCGCTTTTTTAATAATGTTAAAAAATTATTGACTTTTAATGTATAGTTTTATAAAGAAATGCGAAGACATTTTTTTTAGTTGTAATCTCCGTTAATCTAAAAATATTTATATCTCACCTTGTCCTTCTCCCACCCTAAAAATGTTTCAAGTTTTACAGGGCATCTAGAATAATTAAGTGATGTTTGAAATTAAGAAGGTGTTGCTACGAGAATGTTTAAAATTGTTTGATTTTTTAAATATTTGAAAAAAAAAACATAAAAATTTCACATCCAAAAAATTATTATTCCGAAGAGGTACTATCAAATATCATTCTAAATTCTAACATACCTAACATACGTACTCAAACAGCTAGATTGCGGACCCTTGTCTAATATAGAATACATATTCAAAGATCTTCCTACGCCATTTATGGCTTTGATATATGGGGGATTTCTAATGTAAGAGATTTCTGTTTAACTTTTAATATTTAATTTTTGAAATGTCCACGTATATACATTTTAAAATCTGTATATTATTAATTATTAATTTACAAATCTGTATATTATTATTATTTTAATTACAAATTGAAGAATGTTAGCTTATCTGTTCCGAGGTGCAACTCTGTCAAATATTCGAATAAGAAACAAATTTTTGTCAAGGGTTTAATAGATGATCTGTTCCATAACTGCTAGAATGTAAAAGTTTTTACTACGATAACCGAGTATAATATCGGAGAATATTACAAAACTAGTAAATTCTTGCAGGTTCTAGAACAGACCGAAGTTTTTTTTTTCAAGACACGCGTCTGCAATTTTTTGTGTTATCCATCACATATATTCTCTTAAAAATTCAGGTCAAAAATATAAACGTAATTTTCAGTGAGTTCCGAGAAATTGGAAATGTCAACTTTAAAAATTCCTTCCTTAACATAGGAAAATGGCGTATGGAAGACTCAAGCATGCCACCGGCGATTTGACAAAACTTTTTTAATAAAATAATGTATTTTTGGATATTATATCACTCTGTAACAAATTCTCAGTTTTCTCCAAAAAAAAAAAGAGGATATGTTTGTCTCAAGCGCAAAATTGACAAATACCGTCCATACGTCCAAATACGAAGTAACATTAAAAAAAATCCGATACTCATTTAAATAATTTGCCTCATCTGCTTTATTAAAAAAACGTCAATTTCATTTTCTTCTGGCACCCTGTAAAACAAAACATTTTGTCTCCAGCCCGCAACTTCTCTCTCCCTTCCTATCCTCCTTTATATGACATTATTTACTCCCATTTTCTTTTGATTTTTTTTAGTTTCTAAGTAATAAATAAATAAATTATACATTGTAAAAATGCACTTAAAAACAAGGAAGAAAAGATAAACAAGTATATAAAGAAAGAAAACAAATTTATAGAAAATATATCATAAGATCTATAAAATAAATTCAATAACAAAATAATAAAAAAAACAACAACATCATCAAATAAACCAAACGTCTCTTTAAAAACAAATACATATTTTAAAGAACATTGATTGATTTACATTCGCATTATGATTTTAATTTGTGTTACTTTTTTAAGGGTTTCAAAATCAAAATTTTCATCTATTAAAGGAAATTTTAGTTTTTGATTGGAAACTTGGCATAATT